TAGTATGCCCAAGAGCAGGAGTTCTTTAACCAGACTGCTCTCATCTCCAAGAAGGAGAAAGAAAAGGTTCGTCTTGTTAGCTACCTCATAGTTAATCACTTGTTTTTTTTTCCTGCGAGGATAAATTGTTTGATTTTAAAGTTAATTGTAATCTGTAACGTGTAGATGGAAATCATGCAAGCTGTTAGCTTCATGTATGTTCGGCCTCCGGGGTACAATGCTGAAAGTGCTAAAGCGGCGGAGATGGCTGAAGAGAAGAGAAGAGAGGACCTGAATCAGCCGCCCCAAGATCCAAATGCTCAGGGAACATCCTCTTCCATGTAATTATCACTTTGTATCGTTCTTATCTGTTTTTGGTTGCTATTTTTCCAATTATGTGGTTACTCCTAGGAGTCATCTTACAATGAGGTCGACCCTCTGGCGTTATTTTGTGGGACCGGGAGTCCATTAACCCATAACGTGCTTGCCTTGCAGGCTACCTGAAACCTCACGTGGTAAGGACCAATTGAGTGGAGAAAAGAAGAAACCAAGGCCAAAGGATGTGTTTGGGCGTCCTCTACCAACTGAAGAAGAATTCGAAATTCTAAAAAATGCTCCACGGTATGTTAGAGAACTGCCATTGTAACTCAACGGGGAATAACATTCTTCTGTTTGCTCATTTTTGAAAGCCAATCCACGCATATCCCAAATGATGTCTTATTTCAACCTTTTAATTCCATAATATTTTAGCCAACATTTGGTGTGAAGAACATATGAAATGCTAATGATGGATAATCTATCAATTTATCTGAACTGCAGTTGTACGTGGAAGCTGAGTTTCACACTGACAGTAGGAAGTTATTATTGTGTCCTAATTGTGACCACATTGATTTTAGAGCTGCACTAGGAAGTTATTGCTGATGCTGTACGTTGTTTATTTAAAAAAAAAAAAACGAAGAAACAGATTACATGGGGAAACTGAATAACCGTTCTTGGGATAATTGGCTGGCTATCATGTTGAATGCTATAGATTGAAAAAGTGCAACTTGTGGTTCTAAGATTATCAAACGCATATATGGTGATATGGTGGGCCTCAACCTTATGAGAGTAACATCAATTTCTGATTTGAACTCACGGGAGGCGCTAGATCTGCAGGAGGATGTTCAATCTGCAATGCTGTAATTGCATTACTAAACCCCTTGGAATATTTTTGACTTGTGGGTTAAATTGGAGGGGTCATTCTCCTTGATCATTACACCATGGAAAGGTAGTGGGACATCAAATAGAAATCTGATGCAGTATAGGCGTGGTTGTTCTCCTACCATGTAATTAATGGATTGGCAGTAGGCTGTCAGATTGCTACGTTTACTCATACAACAAACTTCATTCTAGCATGACAGTTTATATAACATGCTTGAATTTTTATTATTCTATTTATTTCTATGAAGATAATATAGATTGCTTTGAACCTGTCTTTAATCTTATTTTTAGTAATTGGGTTTTTTCAGGATGGACACAGGAGTTGCTGGCAGGGTGAAACCTTTTGGTGTTGAAGTCCGTAATGTGAGGTGTTTAAGGTGTGGGAATTATGGTCACCAAAGTGGCGATCGTGAGTGCCCATTGAAGGATGCTATAATGCCTAATGAAGAGAATAGGTTGAAAAGGGATGACCCTTTGAATGCTATCCTTGCCCACACAGATCCCAGTGAGGTCAGTTTTACTTAATATTGAAATTTTGTTTGGGAAACATAACAACGTCTTATGCCCTTGAGCATCAGTGGAGTTTGGTATAATCAACATTTTGCTAGCACCTCGCTTTGATGTTTTGACATATATTGTTCATTTGTGCTCACCTGTTGATTGATATCTTTTATACCTATATTCTTTGATTGAAGAATAAATATACTCTACCCTGATTCATTTTTTACCCATGCTGCTGCTACATATTTTTGTCAGCTCGCAGAAATTTTATTGGCATGTGGTCCTTTTGAAAACATATGACTGATTATTCATCTTATTGTGAAATAACTTCCCTCAATCACACCCTTCTGTTATGTTTGCATTTGCTCAGAGTCCTAAAATCGCTTGGAACCATTTGTTTTTTAAAGTCTTTCCACCTCTATCTGACTTCTCAGCATACATCGTATTTACATTTCCTATTATTTATTGTATAATTCACCTTAACGATTACTATTCATAGATCCTATAGTCTGGAATGAAAATTTAATTAACAGCATTAAATAAAAATTATTCCTGCACTGGATTTGTCTGAGAGAGAGTGAAAAACTAGAGAGGTGTAGGTTAGGGAAAATAGTAATTATTTAATTTTTCCTGTCTCCTGGGGAACTTAGATGACAGAAATATGAACGTCAAGGGGTCCATTGAAAATCCCCCATTTTCCTCCCCACTTGATAGAAAACCTTTCCAACTTAGGGGAAGTCTAAATGCAACCCTCCTTTCCCCTCTCTGCTTCATTATTCTCCATCTAAACACAAACTAAAAGAGCAAGAGAAGAAAATTTGGAGTCAGAATGATAGTGCAAATGGTAACTTTTTTTGGGTCATTTATCTCGCCTTAGGATTATGATTATCCAAAAATATTTACCCTTTCCCCACCTTCTCTTTCAACAGCATGGTTGGTTGTTGATCACTGTTACAGTTTGTTGCTTTTGTCCTGTGATAATCAAGATGCAATGAGATGTGTATGAATTTTCCCTTTAAGGTGCACTAATGTGTCTTTTCTCGTGTATGATACAACTGCAGCATTTAAAGTGGGAGCTGAAGCAGAAACCGGGAATCAGTCCCCCTCGGGGGGGATTCAATCCAGATGATCCTAACCAACAGATAGTTGCTGAGGAAATATTTGACGAGTATGGAGGTATCGGTATTTTATGTATAACATATTCTAGAGAGCATTCATGTTTATCCTTTACATGCAATAATCACCATCTATGTTGCAGGTTTTCTTGGTGGCGGAGATATCCCTGAGTTGTTAACAGCCTTCTCTAAGAAGCCCAAAAAGAAATCAAAAAAGAACAAGCACAAAAAACGACAATCAGTACATTCAGAAAATGATAGTTTTTCAGAGGGAGATAGGAGGTCAAAGAAGAAAAAACGTAAGGTGAACAAAAGGAAGCAAAATCATTCAGAGTCAAGTTCATCAGACGCTTTGGACTTTGAAAAGGATCAAGAAAATAGCAGGCACCAGCAATCTTGTTCATCAGAAGATTCGGATAGTGATAGGGATGATCGAAGAAGAAAAATCAGACAAAAGGAGTCGTCCAAAGATTTGGACTATCACGGGCATAGGAGTAAGAACAGCAGGCAAAGGCATTGTTTTTCATCTGAGGATTTTGATCCTCGTGGGTACCATGGAAATCACAAGCAGGGAAATAAGCACACGTATTCTGAAGAGTCTGACCGTAACAGTGATGATCTGAGTAGAAAGACTAAACGAAAGCATTCATATTCAACTATGAGGCCTGACCCTACTGGACATCATAGGAGTAAAATGAGCAGAAAAAGACATCCTTATTCGTCTGAGGATGATTCTGGGCCTGATGGGTATCATGGAAAGCACAAGAGCAGAAATGGGCATTCTTATTCATCTGATGATTCTGACCATGGAAGACAGCACAGGGATAAGACCAAGCATACTTCAACAGCCAATTGCGACTCTCAGAAGCATCACAGACATAGATATTACAAGAGCAGAGATGAGCATTCTTATACATCTGGAGATTTTGGTAGAGACAGGGATGATCAAAGGAGAAAGGCCAACCAAAAGCATTCCAAGCGTTATAGGAGCAAAAACAGTAAGAAAGGGCATTCCTATTCATCTGAGACTGAGGATTCTGGTTCTGATAGCTATCATAGAAGCCGAAAGGGCAGGAGTTGAGGCGTGAAAAACAAAAAGAAGAGCAGGAACGAACATTTCATCTGATGATTCTGATCATCAAAGGCATCTTAAGAGTGTAAAGCAGCAGCCACGGGGGCTAATCAACGTCCTTGGCAGCTACCGTTAGTAATTTAGTATCCTGCGAAATGAAAGTGGACGCATCATATTAACACTCATGAAGAGGTTGATCCTGTGCATGTCTTAAGGTATTAAACACTGTCTCCGAAACCATCATCGTGGTTGCCTGTCTGGTCCAGAATGATTGTTCTGCTGTATTGAAAGGGAAGGGTTGGCTCTGTTCTGTGCACTATTGATATGGTTGAGCAAGTTTAACAAATTCAGATAAAGTTCCAACGGTTCTGCTGCTCAAGTTTTCGTAGTTCATTTTTTATAATTTTATTGGGTTATTTATATGGATTAGACTGGATGAAGTGTTTTATATCTTCACTGCGACGTTCTCTAATTAAAATATGCCAAATATCTGGTTTGCCAGTATCTTAAGTGGATGGATTGGTTAAAGACACATTAAAACAAATGAAACTTCCATACTCAGGCAAAAATTTCGTATGTATTCTTGTTTTACTTTTGCCACCAATTTTACTATTAAGATGGTACCACTTCTGATTTTTAATATAAATTTGATAATTAATTTATAAATATTAAAAAAAATTAAATTAATTATTTATAATAAATAAGTATAATATTTTTCAAAATATTTTGATTAACCATATGCATTAAAATCATTTTATTATAAAATTTTTAATATGGATCACCATCTTAGGGGCTAATTTAAAAATAAATAAAGATAAAAAATAAAATAAATTGAGATTTAAAACTAAATTAAATGCCTAACTAATTTTTTAATAAATTTTTTACCCTCTTCTTACTACCTGAGTCATACACTTGTGCTTCAACGGAAAAACCAAACGCTAACGATACCACACCCTTTCTCTCTCCATCTAAACCAAAAAACCATAAATATATATATCTAACTAATATTAATATCTTTTTATTTAAAATGCTCATAGAAGAATATCAAAATCGTTTGCTACTCGTTCGAAATAAATAAATAATTAATAAGTGGTATTAAAGGACGAAATTAATAAAAATTTGGGATCTTAACTATCTAAATAATTGTACCTTGAGTGAAAATGTTTCATATATAAAATGGGAAAAGCAGAAGCTTCATCTGACATATAATCCTGCTAATATTGAAGTTCAGCCAAGGGCACCTTGATAAACAGCTTATATAAGCCCACAAATACCAGACAACGCACGAGCGCGTTCAAACCAACATGTCATGCATATTACAGATTTCCAGGTTTCCTTGATAACTGATCAAACTGGGTTTATAAAGGATGCATTTTGAAGCACAAAAGCCCGAAAGGAACCAGCTAAAAACAAGACAGTAAAACTGCGCTAATCAATACAGAAATCTTCACTAAGTGCCCTACAAAGAAGAGCTTTAGCTCGACTTCAAAAATGGTTAGACAGATATCTGGCAATCTCTGTGAAAGAAATTCTATCTTTCCCATTGAAAATGGTCTTCAACTTCTCATCGCAAACAATTTCCCTCTTGTTCGTAGGATTCTGCGAAAGAATAGCTTAGTCATCCCATTGTAGAGAAATGACAGAGCGAACGATTGAAAGGAAACAACGATGGAGGACAAAGGGGGTAAAAAAATCGATAATCTAAAGAGGACATTATTTTTACTTCTACAACTAAGAATGATTGAAGCTTCCACTCACCCTTAGCAGATGCAACCCCACTGGGTAAACAAAGAATCAACAAAACATACTTCATACATTTCATGGCTAAAGATGAAAGGCAGATGCTCCAAAATACATCTAATACTTTTATGTCATGACTTCCATTTTAAAACCAACTTAGCCTAGAAAATACAAATAAAAAATAGGAAAAATACCAAAATAGTGATTCTTGAATTTCAAAATTCCAAATTAGTAATTGCTAAATTGTTAAAATGACTACATTCAAAAAGTAAATGACAACATTTTTGCAGTAATTCCCCATCTGGACTTCTGAAATTCAATAGTCATTTTTTTGAGATTTTCCCTAAAAAATATATAAGCCACCAACTTATCTGAATTTCCCGGTCCAAGTAAATTTCGCTAACCAACTTCAAAAATACAACCATTACTATGCCTATATCGTGCGGTTTATGGGGAAGAAGAGTTCAAGTAACAAGTAGCTTAAAAATTCTCTAATGCAAACAACTGAGAAATAGGCATTAGGTGAAACAGTTTATACAAGCTATTATGCGTTGGTTATTCATATTCCGCGTTATGTTTACCACTGCTAACTCAATAGTAGCAAGAGCATGCAAGAGATTAGCAGGCAAATTTATGCATTCAAGATCATAGGCTATCGGTATTAATCCCGTGGAATAAGTCATTTATTCGCTAAAAAATATGTAGTAATTTTACAGCATAAGAATTTGATACTGGTATGAGAGCTAACAAATTCACGCTAAGATACATTATATGTAGCCGCTACGGCTGCATCGTGCCTGAGACAAGCAATGCAGTCAAAAACAGAAAAATAAATGGACTGACTCCATTGGGAAAAAATAAACAGATTCCATAACATATTGGAAAGGAAGTGTTGGAATAAAGTCCAGAGCACGTGCTCAACTTGCAAACAGAAAATTCTCACAAAGCGGAGAAATAACGCAGAAGCTTTTCTGAAGATTCAGAGACCAAGTCCTTCAGAAGGAGGACCAGAGAACGAAAAGCTCTGAAATCCTTAAAACATTCAGAAAGGAACCTAATGTAAAACATTTGCGTATGTATTCCCAATGGTTCTACTGATTTCTGGGATAATAGAAGTAGATAGGGGGAACAAACTTTTAAATATAAATATAGTGCAGCATTGATCCACAGAAACGGGAAAGAATGAAGACCTGAAGGTTGTGGAGTTTGATGTGATCCCACACTTTCTTGACGGCACCAGCGCGTGAAGATTCAGAGGCACCGAGAAATTTGCCAAGCTGCGGCGAGACAGGGATCATCTTCTGTAAGGCGGTGCTGCCTCGACTTTTCGGTGCGGCCGTCTTCGGAGCAGTCTTAACACCAGACGCAGCCCCCTTCGCCGCTGCCGCCATCAGTGCTCTACTACATGCTCCGAAAACCCTGGTCGCCGCCATACTTACCGGCGAAACGCTTGTTGAACCCCTTCTCTCGATTTCTAAAAACCCTAGCAGAGCACAGGAACCCACAACAGAGGGACGCGCGAGCGCAGCGAGGCTTTTGGCGTTTTGGCTCCCCGAGGTACGGTTCGCATTGGGCCTTCTCTCCTTTACCTGTTTCCTCCGCGGCTCCTCCTTAACTTTGAAACTACGTCGTTTCAATGCTTCGTTCTTCTAATCCCAGTCATGGAGAGTTGGTGCGCCACGAGTCAAAAGAATGTGTTCGGATGAAACCAAAGGCCCGTTTGGATGGCCTCCAAAACTATGGTTTGGAGGTAAAATTATAGTTTAGGTGGGATGTCATCTAAATAGCATAAATTTTAAGCCAATAATCTGAAATCATGGTTTGGGTCAAAACCATGCTTTTGGAACCCAAAACCATGGTTTCAAGAGAAGTGAATCTATTTTGCTTCTGACTCAAATTAGAGAGTATGATTGTACCTGACAGAGTATATCTCAATAATAATATGACTTTAACATTTCTCAATTATTTTTTTATTAACATATTTAACCTTATATCTTATAAACATATATACGCATATTAATTATTTATTAATTACATTATCTTATGTATTATTAATTATGTTGGTAAAAAATATATTATTAACAATTTTATTCCTTCAAATTAAAATATATCATAAAACCTATCTTTTATGTAATTATCATATTAACTTTTTTTTATTAATTGTATATATAAAAAGTATTTCTGATAACAATTATCCAAACACTCTCACTTCTCAAAATTATTTTTTAGAAAATCTATTCTTCACAAAATCTATTCTCCCTGGAATCTATTCTCCAAAAGTTATTCTCCAAACCATGGTTTGTTTTCATCCAAACACCCCTATCATGGTTTAGAGAATAGCTTTTGGAGAATAAATTTTAGATAAATAGATTTTGTGAATAGATTTTGAGAATAGATTTTGAAAAAAAGTGATTTTGATAAAGCGAGAATATTTGGATAATTGTTATCAGAATCTTTTTTTTTATATACAAATTACTAAAAAAGACATAAGCTAATATGATAATTAGATAAATGATAGATTTTAGTTTATATTTTTGTTTGAAATAATAAATTATATACAAAAAATATAATTAATATTATCTCCAGTCCTTAGTATAGGAGCTAATTGGGTATTCTATTTGATTTTGAATATAAGATATCAATCTATCTTGTCTCATACATTTATCTATTTTTTTCAAAATAGTTCTCATATTAATTTGCACATATTAAATGTTACATCAAATAATAATCCCAATGCACATCGTTAATAGGTGTTTTAGAGAATGCAACACCTATTTATTATAAATAAATAATTTAACTAATTTTTTTAATATTTACAAATTAGTTTTCTAACTCTTACATTAAGGATCAAAGCTAGTAATTGATATGTGTATATATATTTATATCCCAAACTATGGTTTTATACCTTCAAAAGCAAAAAAAATTCACTTTATGAAAAACCATGGTTTCCAAATAAAAAGTGATTTTGGAAAAAATTATGGTGTTTGGTTACTTTTATACAAACCATAGTTTCAAATTGAAAAGTGATTTTGAAAAAATATATACTGTTTGGATGATTTTTCTTCAAACCATGGTTTTCTCTTTAAAACCATGGTTTGGAGAAAAACCCAAATACCGCCTGGAGGGCTTTTGTAATCAATCTCCTAGGTGAAAAATATTTTAAAAAATTGATAAATTAAAAAGTATATAGTTTTCTTAATTAGAAATTAGTTTTTTAATAGTTTTAAAAGTAATATATTCAGTTTATATAAAATAATCACTTTAAATTTCCTTACATCAGACCTATTTTCTCTTCTTATGTGCTTATTATTATAATAATAATAATAATAATAATAATAATCAATAAGATATATAGTTAATTATAACTTATTTTCCTGAAAGTTATAATTAACTATAGTAACTATGTAATACCTTTGATTATTAATATAAGATCCAATAAACTTATTTGTGAAGACTAATGAAGTTAATAAATTACCTTAACTAATTTGTTACTGTTATAAATTGATATATAATATATTGATATGTCTAAATATTTTAGAAAGATTATATAACATATATTATGATTAAATAATTCAGTAATTTTTTTAATCTCTTCAAATTAGTCAACTAGATCTTATATTAAGAATCAAAGATAGTTTTTTGAAAGTGATTACTAATTATATATCTTATTAATTAGGATAAAGTAACATTTAACACATTCATGTTATTTCTTAATTGTATCTAATACCCTAATCTTATCCAAGTTATTTTTTGGCACCCTAATCTTATTTATAATACATCCAATACTGCTCATAAAGATGAGGGTGATGGATGCTACTTTGCTCGATTAATTATTACATACCTTATTAATTACCAGTTTTCTTGAAAGTTATAATGAACTATCCATCTTATTAATTATTATGTTATAAAATTTTATAATAATAATAATAATAATGATGATAAGCACATAAAATTTTATATGTCTATTTATTATATTTTCCCCTTTTCCTAATCTTCTCTCTCCTGACCTTTCTCCCCTCTTCACTGAAGCCACATTCTTCTCCCCCTTCTTCATTGTTCATCGCTGGCATCGCTAGTGCCTAAGGTTGAATAAGCTTTTGGCCTATTGGTTCTCCCGAGGCTCCCCCTACATTTCTATGTTCGTTAGCTCCTTCAATTAGGGTGTGATTTCTAATGATGTGGCTATTTCTTATTACAAGTTGTCAATCTGTGCGGCCAGTGCCAAGTAAAACAGGGATTTAAACGACACCATATATACTTGCATGACTGTGTGAAATTGATCGCTCAGAATCCCTCATCCCTCATTTTCAAATTCACAACTTCTTCCCGCTTGAGGCCTACCTGATCCAAGTCCGAATTATTCACAAACCCATTGGGTAACCACCAGCGTCAGATGTTTTAGCCATAAAAGGTCTGCACATTTTTTAGTGTTGTCTCTATTAGTGTGATACAATTCCATCTTCTACTGAAAAAGGATAATTTGTACCTCAATCATGTTGCACTTCTTCAATTCAAATCTCATTTATAACTTTAATAATTATGGCAACTAGGCATAAACTTGTTATATATTCATATATACACTATCTCTGGTGCTTATTATAAAACTTAGTTGAGAAACTAAATTTAGTTCTAAGTATAATATCTCAAGTAGAGAAGCAAGTTCAAAAAACAAATCCTATTTAAATTTACTTTATAATCTCAAAAAAGACATACTTCTAACTCATTTCTTTAGTTTTGTCCTAAAAATGCTATAAAGACAAAAGAAAAATACAACCTTACAATTATATTGTGAAGTTATACTTTCCTTAATTGTCGCTTTGGGGTTACTCTAAAAATTAACCGAATTAATGCAATATAGTGCACAATCCGGGTCGTATTCACTTTGAGGAGCCGAAAACGAAATTAAATCCTAGTAAATAAATGCAAGTAACCTAAACTATAAACAAGATTTTTGATTTGAGTTTGAAAAATTGCTAACTAAATGCCTTGAATTAAATTGAAATTAAAATACTTTTTTTTGTTATTTTCTTTTATATAAAATATTATTGAAATAACTGAAGATGAAAGAAATGAAAATGAGACACACAAATAACACTGATGATAATCAATCCTCTAATTCAACAATGTAGGCAATCATCACTCTAAAAGATGTGGGAGTTAAAAACAATGAATTAAGAATTATAATTAAGCTTTTAATCTAACAACCGAGCCACCTCGAGTTGCCACAAAATATTTTCCTAAAATTCAAATTACTAGCTGCAACCAGAATAGTAAAATGAAATTAAGGATACTAAAAACCAATGCTCAATTAAATTCTTAAATTCACAACAATAGACTTAAAGCTAACAAGAGACATAACTACAACATCATAATTGAAATCAAAGCTATAAACAGCCCAATGTCAAATGCTAAACAATAATCCAGTCACAATAATCTCCAAATATAATCAGATTAAGCAATACAATTATCCCAACAATTAGAAAAACTATCCTAAGACCTAGGAATTGTTAAACAATTATTGAGTAGGAAATTCAAACAACTAAAACTCCCCTTTGATGATCTAAGCTCCTGCCATTATTGTTGAATTAGAGAATTAGGAATTAGCCACGCTTTGCCATCAAAAATGCTATATTCAATACTCTATTGCAAGCTTCCATTGAAGAACAACAGCGTTAAGAATTCGGCGCGTCTCTATTTTTTTTTTTGCGTCTTCCGCCCGTGTTGCTCTGTTCGCCGCTTGCGTCTTCTCCGCTTCGTCGAGCTCGTCCAGTCTCCTCAGCTCATGGGTCTCGTCCGTGCTCCTGCTTCTCGTTTTTGGTCTTCGCCGCCTCCAGTTCGCTTGCGTCTCCGTTCTCCTCTGTTCGGCGTGCTCTGCTCTTGCCTTCCGTGTATATCTCCGCCCGGATGAAGAAGAAGATTGTATATTAGGAATATTACGTTGGGGCAAAACGTCCACCTTATTATTATTATTATTATTTTCTTTTAATTTATTTTCTTTTTCTTTTTCTTTTCTTTTTTTTTTATTTTTTTATTTTTTTATTTTTGAATCTTCCAAGAACTTGCAAGCAAAATTCAAGGATAAGGTAGCATTAATTGTTCTCAAAAATCAATTAGTCACAATTAAACCAAAATATGACAATTTTGCCCCTATAAAATATTAATTCAAAATAAAATATATTAAATCAATTAAGGCAAAAAGGGACCAATTAAGCTGACAAAGCTCATATAAAAGATACTAAAATATGTAAAAATAATTGAGTTTGTCATATTGCGTGTAACAACTTGTAGTTATAAAAAAATAACATATCACCAATCATAAATTATTTCACTAAAATTAGTTTAAAATTTGGAGACCCAATAATAATAGTTTGAAACATGAGGAAAAATGTGGCTTCATAAATAAGAAATACTGCAAATCTAAAACAAAATAAAGAAGTTAACATAAAGTGGCAATCAAACTTTTATATCAGTTAATGCAACATGCGGATATCAAAGAAAAGTAAGAAAACAGAGGAAAAAAATATCGAGATACTAGAAATGAGCTCTGATGCTATAATGATGAGCCATAATACTACTTGGTGTAAAACAAAAAAAGTAAATAAAAAAAAAGCTGGAGAATCATGTATAAAATAAGAGACAGGTATTTAATTTATACTTTTTACAATTTTAGCATTTTTTAATTTTTCAAACATTACATCATGATGAGCTCTCAATTGATAAACATGCAATAAAAATGCCCTTAAATGAATGCACATCCTCCAACATCAATTCTTTAAAGTCATGATCAAATACACTTTAAGAATTTTAATTGCATTTTCATATTACGAGCTTTTTGATTAATATAATGTATATTGATAATAACAATTCATTTTAAATCCCTCCTTGAACTTGCTAACCTCCTAAGATGTTCTTGACATAAGTCAACAGAACATATAGGTAGGTCAAGTAGCTACTTCATTTCAGTAGTAAAGTCCAAATAATAAATTTTTTTATTTAAACATATTTGTAAATTTTCCAGATAAAATGTTTTTAAATATTTCCAATTATTTCTCCATACTAAAAAATGATTAAAAAAAAAACATTAGAGCATGAGAAGCAATATACAAGAAAAAGGCAAATTTTACTTCTACAACCATCTTAATCAGGAGTACAAGCCTCTTGACTAATGCAATATATATCGATAATAATGACACATTTCAAATCCCCTTTTAAGTTGCCAACCTCCAAAAATGTTATTGACATGAGTTAATGAAAGGTATGGCTAGATCAACTAGTTACTTCATTTTAGTAGTAAATGTTTAAACATATTAGTAAATCTCCCAATTAAAATATTTTCAATGATTTCTATTTTCTTCTCCGTACTGAAAAATGATTGAAAATATCAGAGTGGAGAGACAACATGTCAAAAAAGGCAAATTTTGCTTCCAAAACAATCTTAATCAGGAGTGCAAGTCTCTTTATTAACACAATGTATATCGATGATAATGATTTATTTTGAATTTCGTTGAAACTCAACGACTCCCGATGTGTTCTTAACATGAGTCAATAGAATGTATAACTAGGTCAAGTAGCTGCTTGTCAATCCTCCAAATAAAATAATTTTAGTTATCTCTAATTCCTTCTTCTCATTGAAAAATGATCAAAAATATCATAGCAGGGAAGGCAACATGTGAGAAAAATGTAAATTTTGCCTCAAAAATCATCTTAATCAAAAGCATGAGCCTCTTGATTAATACAGTGTATATTGATAATAATACCTCATTCTGAATCGCTCTAGAACTCGCCAACCCCCTAAAGTGTTTTTGGCATAAGTCAACAGAATGTGTGACTAGGTTAAGTAGCTGGTTTATTTCAGTAGTAGACTCAGATAATGAAATTCCTCATTTAGACATATTTCAGTATCAAAATGAGTTATAAGACCAATTGATGTAAAACAAAAAAGCAGAAAAAGCAAGAGAATTATAAATTAAGGGTTTGCTTTTATCATTTTATTATTGTTTTTAATAATTTAAACATTGCATCGTGAGTAGCTTTCAATTGATAAACATGTGATGCCAAATCCCCCCTAACTATATTCAATAAAAGTACTTCTAAATATGTGCACATCCTCTGATGTCAATATTTAAAAATCTTGATTTGGCACAGTTTGAAGAACTTTGATTGCATTTTCACATTATTTATCTTATACAAGCCTCTTGATTATGAGTCAACAGAACATATATCTAGGTCAAATGTCTATTTTATTTCAGTGGTAGACTTAGATGATGAAATTTCTCATTTAGACATATTTCAATATCATAGAAATGATCTCTGATACCAACTAATGAAAAACAAAAAATCAGAAATAGCAAGAATATCATAAATTAAAGGTTTACTTTTACCATTTCACTATTTTTTATAATCTTTTAAATATCACATTATAAGAAGCTCTCAAATGTAAATTTTGTCTCAAAAATCATCTTAATCAAAAGCCGAGTCTCTTGATTAATACAGTGTATATTAATAATAATACCTCATTCTGAATCCTTCTAGAACTCGCGAACCCCCTAAAGTATTTTTGACATAAATCAACAGAATGTGTGACTAGTTTAAGTAACTGGTTTATTTCAGTAGTAGACTCAGATAATAAAATTTTTCATTTAGACATATTTTAGTATCAAAATGAGTTATAATACCAATTGATGTAAAACAAGAAAGCAGAAAAAACAAGAGAATTATAAATTAAGAGTTTGCTTTTATTATTTTATCATTGTTTTTAATCATTTAAACATTATATCATGAGAAGCTTTCAACTTATAAACATGTGATGTCGGAGCCCCCTAACTATACCCAATAAAAATGCCTATAAATATGTGCACATCCTCTGATGTCTATTTTGAAACCTTGATTTGGCACAGTTTGAAGAACTTTGATTACATTTTCATATTATTTACCTTATACAAGCCTCTTAATTATGAGTGAACAGAACATATATCTAGGTCAAGTGGTTATTTTATTTCAGTGGTAGACCTAAATGATAACATTTCTCATTTGGACATATTTTAATACTATAGAAATGAGTTCTGATACCAACTAATATAAAACGAAAAATTAGAAAAAACAAGAGGATCATAAATTGAAGGTTTACTTTTACCATTTTTTTTAACCTTTCAAATATTACATTATAAGAAACTCTCAACTAAAAACATGCGATATCAAATCTTCTCCCTAATTTTACCCAATAAAAGTGCCTCTAAATATTTACATATCCTCTGATGTCAATCCTTTAAAACTATAATTTGACACACTTTTAAGAACTTTGATCACATTTTTATATTATTTAATTTGTATAAGCCTCTTGATTAACAGAGTCTATATTAATAATAATAACTCTTTTTGGATTCCTATTCCCTCGAAACTCGTCAATCCCTTCATGTGCTCTTGATATAAATCAACAAAATATATCGTTAGGTTAAGTAGCTGCTTTATTTTAATAGCAAACACAGATAATGACATTGTTTGTTGAAACATGTTTGTCAATCTTCCAAGTAAAAATTTTCTAATTATTTTAATTCCTTTTTTGCCATGAAAAATGATAAAAAATATCATAGTGGAAGATTATTTTATAAAATTATAAACAAAATGTTAATTTTTTTAAAAATAGATAAAATCAAACTACTAAATCTAGTACTGATAATTTAAAATAATAAGAAAAATATGTTAGAAAATTATTTTGTATTATATGAAATCTAAACCATTAAATCACAATTTTAATTATTGAAATAAGAATTGAATAAAAACTGAGGAAAAAAAAGTAGAGAGAACCTTTTCTCATTTTTTTTCTTATTAGTTATATTATAAAGATAAAATTATAGTACTGAACAGTCGAGGGGAGGAGAGAAGATATTGTGATAAGTTTGATTTTAAAAAAGTTAGAAGGAAGGGATTAAACTTTTTTTTTTAATTTTTCTTACTCTTTTATTTTATCTTTTTTTTAATTAAAATTTTATGAATCTACTCAATTTTTAAAATTGAATTCATTAGAAATTTTATTAAATTAAGACAGAGAAGCTTGATAATCATAGAAAAATCATCATATATTTTGCATAATATTTATAATCTGCAAGGGCTAAAAGATAGTTAAATACAATTGAATGATGACTTTTTATCCAACCAATTTGAAAGAACTTTTTAAAATTGATTACTAGTATGAATGTACATTTGTATCTTTAAGTGCAATCACACGTTACTTAAATATATTTTAATTTACTAAAAAATTTACTCTCTCCCACCTTGATATACTCTTCCGATTCTTAATATAAAACCCATTTAACTAATTTGATTAGATTAACGAAGTTAGGTAAATTAGTTAATTATAAGAAATATGACACGTTTTTCCTAAAATACCATAATCATCTTTCTTAATATCCCTTCTTCCTCTTCTACTTGATTATGATTGAGGGAATATCTATAGGGTAATTTAGAGAAAATTAATAAATATGATAAATTAATCTTATATTTAGGACCAAAACCAACTCAATAATTGAGTCATATATTAAGGATCGGACGAGTATAAGAATTGGGTAGGAATTCGATTTAATTTTAAAATATAATATTTTAATCAATTTTATATTTTATATTTATTTTTTAAAATAAATTTATCTAGTTTATTAATCAATATATATTTAATATCACACAAAAATATTTTAAAAAGATTGAATCATATTTATTATAACCAACTAATTTATTTAATCTATTTAAATCAATTAAAAAACTTTTAGCAGAACTGGGGACCGGTAGTGTTATTTTAGCAAACTTTTATATTTAGTTTTTTAATATGAAATCCTAATTAAATTTAAGGGCAGCTTCGGATCTCCCACGCCATCATGCGTCACCTTTTTCACAGGAATCAGCGGATGCCTTGTACGCGTATATCACGCGTAATAGCGCGTTTCTAAATTCGAGTGCGCTAAGCAAGAGCCATCAATCGTCTACCGTTGTTGATCTTTTCTGTAAAATCCTCATCGCCATCTTTACCCAGCTTCTCGACAATCCTTCAATTTTCTTGTCATCTTTTGATCTTTATTCTATTCGGTTAGTTCGTCTACCTGCACTATTGCTCTGTTTTTTCTTTTCTCTTCGTTCTTTGTTATTTCTTGGTCAATGATGATTTTTAAGATTGATCCATGTCTTGTCAGCAGTTAATCTTTCCGAATCTGCAGGAATATGTGAACGATAATTTTCGCTGTTGTTATTTGCATGCGTGGCCGATTAGATTGCAATAGCTTGCAGTAGTTTCTATTTTCTGGGATTTATATTGCAGCTTTCTGAGTACGCTTAGGAGAATTTCATTTTTTATGTGAATCAATTTGATAAATTACCTTCGCTTGCAAATTAGAATCAGAGCTTTGTTCGTTGTTGTATTACTTTTCGTTCATCCGTACGTTGTTGGCTCGATGTCAGGTCTGTTTCGTTGATAACCGGCTATCAATCGAGGGAAAAAAACAAAAGAACGGAAAAGAAATAGCTTCAGCGAAATTTTTTTTATAGGTTGTTCTTATTGATTCTACCGATAGTTTAATTGCATCTGAACAATCGTCTTTCTTGTTTCTCGCAATCTGCAATACTTACATATATACATATTGTGTCTTTTTTTTGTTGTGTCAAGTACTGATCTTACTCTGTCAACGAATTCTGGTTTTGTAGAATCAGCTTTTCGCTTCAAAGATGGGAGGTGGAAATGATCATAATGAATCTGACAAAGGACTTTTCTCAAACATTGCTCACGGGTTAGCTCATGGTGTTCACGGGGCTCATGGTTATCCTCCTGGAGCCTACCCTCCTCCGCCTCCGGGAGCCTACCCTCCGCCTCCGGGGGCCTACCCTCCGCCTCCGGGGGCCTACCCCCCACCACCTCATGGGTATCCACCTCCTGGTGGCTATCCTCCAGCGGGTTATCCTCCTGCTGGCTACCCGCCTACTGGTTATCCTGGTCCCTCTGCTCCAGGTATAATACCTGCATGCATGCATATCTACATGTGTTTGCGCTTGTCTGTTGTAGATAATTCGTCCATAATCTACAAGCGATTGGATGTTTTAATGCACTGTTCTGGAGAATTTGCTCTGATAGTGAAAAAATTTTGTGCATCCTTTGGGAGCATGAAGTAATTTTCTTGTGTAAAAATTGTGATGTGTGACTGTCTGGTTACAACACTGTCTAATCCGCTTCGTAGTTGCTTGGGTTTATATATATATTTTGTGGAGCTTGTATTGCATTGTTATAGAGGTTTTCTGTTGTCTGTGTGATGTTTATTTATCTGGTTGGACTAATCTTGTAACTTTGTTCCTATGATCAGTATACGGGCACGGGCACAGTCATCATCATGGAGGGTCTGGGATGGGGGGATTGCTTGCCGGAGGAGCTGCTCTTGCCGGAGCTGCATATGGCGCTCATCACCTCAGCCACGGCCACCACGGCCACCACGGTCACTATGGGTACGGACACGGTGGTTTCATGGGCCATGGGAAATTTAAGCATGGAAAGTTTGGCAAGCACGGAAAATTCAAACACGGGATGTTTGGAGGAAAGCACTTCAAGAAGTGGAAGTAATCTTACATGTGTTCCTTCATGATGCTGAATGCTTGTTTCTAAGTTCTCATAAATAAACAATGATGTCAATTATTGACGGTTTGCTTCTAACTCTGATGCCCTTAGCTGATAGAGTTTTGAATCAGAATAGCAGCATTGATTGTATTATAAGTGTGCTGGTCTTTGATTTGCCGCTGACAGCGAAAACATATTGGCTAATACCCATTCTTTTCTTCTTTTCCTCTCTTTGATTCCCTGCCGTGTTTGTACAGCACTTAATAATAAAAGTTATAATTCATTCTCTCATGGACAGCTTACTAAAGTAGCCTGAACCCAAAAAACAAATGTATTTCTAAACTGAAGCATTCTGTGTTCACCGCTCCTGTCAAGCAATAAGCAAATTTTGAGTTGAACTAAATCCACGATTATCTTAAATTGCAGGATACCGTACTCAACAGTACCCTTTGCCGGACCCGGAAATAGTTGTGTTTTGTTTAGTATTTCCCATTCCCGGTGAAATTTACAGTTGAGAAAATCACAGGGTTCCTGGATATAAAATTCTTAAGTTGGGATTATTATGTCTTTTTTTTTTTTTTGCTTCTTAATTTCTTATGCATTGACCGGTGGTCAGAGCTACTCTTCTATCATATCTCATAACTCGTCAGCCTGAAATTAGAACATTGCTGGCATTAGGTACGTCGCGGTCAGCCATTTAATTTCATTACAAAATTACGTCGTGTCCCTTCAGGTCTTCCACTTTGTATATTTCGCTATCAGGTATCTGGGGAAAAAAGTGGGAAGATATTCACATATTTGAAGTTTGAAATACTGTTCTATAACAGACATTAATATAATCCAATTGAATGATAGCAATTTTTTTCCTGACAATCTGACAGAAGCTCCCTGATCCACTCGAACATAGTACAATTTACCTAAAAGAATCCAAGGAGCAACTAACTCAGAAATAAAATACTACTCGTCCGAATCTAATTAACTAATTTGAATAGATTAAGAATGTTAGTTGATTACTTAATATGATATATTATTTTTTCTAAAACATTATAATCATTTTCTTTAATTTCTTCCCTCTCACTTACTTTATTATTGTTAGGGGAATATTATCAATATATTAATTTGGAAAAAAATTATAAGCATGTAAAATAAGTCTTACATATAACGTCAATATCAACTCTGAAATTAGATTCTATATTAAAAGACCAGAGGAGTAGTGAATATATTATCATCTGATAATAAGCCATCATTTAATATCCTTCCATTTTTTTCTTGATCAGATTGAAATAATTTTGAATCAAAATCATGATCTAAGCACTGTATTTTATCGAAGATAAATTGGGAGGAAGAAAATATGCATTATCAATAATAATCAGTGAACATCTCGTAATCATGGGATAATGCAAGATTAGGGAATACGATGCATATTTTGAAGTTCTTTTTATTTTTTTTAAAAAAATCATTGATTGGAAAATTTTTAATATAATGTGGGAAGTAGATAATGGATTTTATTATTTGCGGTCATTTTCAATAGATTTTATATTATATATAAATATAGATATATAGATTTTTTAAAGCTAGCTACTAAAACTGGAAACTCGGAAAATTTATATTTTATGTTTTTGAGTACGCATTGTTATAGGGAGGCTTTTTGCGTTCCGTGAGATGTTTATTTATGTGATTGAAGTGTTGTCTTTGTTCGTGATTCTGATTTTCTCAATGCTTAAACTAAGGTACTGAAAATCGAACCAGCTTCTCAATCAGTTCTGATAGTGGATTAAGGGTTAGTGGATTAGATTGGAGCCAAACCAGTGAGAAATAAAAAAATTAAAAATTAATGTAAATTCTCATTATGCCATCCACCAAATATCAATTTAAAACCCTGAATTTCTAACAAAATAATTATATACTTATATTTTCTTTCCATTTTTTCTACAGTTTCCTTGACAAATTAACATCATAGTGTCATATTATTAAAGTAACTAAATATTCATTCAAGCAAAATATCAAAATAGATTTATGACAGCAAAATATTTCTATAATTCTATCTACAATCCTCTAGTTCCTAATTAATAATTTTTTATCATTAAAAGATTTTTTAAAAAATAACTGGGTTAACCCACCAAACCGATCGAGTTAACTGAGTTTCTCCCAGATTGATTGGGTTACAGTGGGTCGCATCAGGTCACTCCACCTATTGATTTTTCAGGTGACTAGTTGGCCGGTTTTTGGTTCAACCCAACTAGTCTGGTATGGTTTCCAATACTATAAAATAATTTTTTTAGTTTTAGAGCTATTAACTCATAGATGTTTGAATTAGAATAGCTCACCATAAAAAGAACCTTATAATCTCATAAAATAAAAATATGGTATACCATGAACTTGAATGTGCAGTTACTCTATGAATTGATGGAATTCTTCTGACAAATTTTGTTGAGCTTATTTCTGTCTCTAAAATGAATGATTTTGTCTTCAGTTTTGATGAGATAAAAATTATTGTTTCCTAATCGTTTACTATATTTATTCTCCGTGCAAAGAAAATTGTATTCATTTGTGATAGAGTTATTATTTTTGAGATCCAACTAATTACCCTTCAAGGATTAGAGCTGGGAATCAGGACCAGCCCTTCAGGGCTGGCGGGCTTAAAAGGGCCGGCCCTCAAGGGCTTAAATTTTAAAAATACCCCAATTTGCTAGGCCCGGCCCTTAAGCTACAAGGCCAAGGCCGGCCCGCGGGCTTTTGGCCCGTTTAAGAAAAATACTATTTTTTATATTTATCATATTTTTTTATAAAAATAAACCAATGAAATTATTAATAAAAGACATAAATATGAATAAAATTAAGTCACAAATATAAAATATTATCATATATAAATATTCATCAACATCTAAGAACATCTAAAACATTCATTAACAAGATAACAACATCTAAAAGTTTTATCTATAATGCAATTGTGCAATAAATCAACACTATCATTAATCTTTTGAAACTTCATCATCGCTATAATTAATTATTTTTCTTCATAAGTATGCTTTTCTTTCGTAACAAAAATATCAAGTTTTTCTTCTTTATAAGAATTTTATTTTTAAATTTTGCAATCTAACTATTATTTTACTTTAATGTGAGAAACATTGTTGTTGAAACTCATGAATTTCTAATTCAAATTATAGAATCACAAGTTATATAAGTATAAAAATATTCTATTATCAAATATATATATAGTTTAAAAATATCAACGCATATAATATAAATCAAATCATTATTAAAGTCCAAATTAACCCATTTTTTAAAAATTTAATTGGATAAATTATTGTCTAAAACTAAATTTAATTTTAAAATGATAATAATAACTAAATATTTGAAATATTATTAACAATGTAAAAAATTAATAACATTAATATTATATAAAAAAATTTAAAAAAATAAAAAAATAATAAAAGGGCTTAAAAGGGCCGGCCCTTTTAAGCTCTCGGCCCTCTAGGACTTATTTCTCATTTTAAGAGAAAAATATCAAGCCCGACCCTCATAATTTCAAGGCCTAAACGGGCCGACCCGACGGGCTCGGCCCGTTTTCCCGGCTCTACCAAGGATCAACATGCTAGATTCTCAGCTAAAGCTTATTCCGGTCAAAAAAGAAAGAAAGCAGCTGGCTTATTCCGGTCAAAAAAAAAGAAAGAAAAAAAAAAGAAGGCAGCTGGCTTATATTATTAACAAGCTTGATTGACAAAATGTGGTTTTAGGTATGTCATTCTAGCTTTTTAAATTTTTCTTAATATACATTCAAGGCCTAAATGTTTCGTATCCCTACAAGTCCTTAACTTTCTTCTTCCTTGGGCATTAAGCAAACATCCAGGAAAAAGAAAAAGCAATATTAAAAGATTGAAAAAGTTCTTACTCCTCTAGTACTTGTGGCTACATGTTATTCACATATTTGAAATATTCTCATATTAAATTAAGTATGAGGGAGTAATTTTTTTAATATTTCCTATTCTAAGACCCTTTAATGCTAATAGATATGTGAGGCACATCTATTTTCTTACAAGACTATTATATTAGGGGCAAAATTAAATAATACTTCCAGTTCTTAATATAAGAGCCAATTACTAATTTAAATAAATTAAGAAAGTTATTAATTTAATTATTTATAATAATTAGGTATTGTCTTTTTTAAAATATAATTACTAATCATACGTATTAGTTAAAACTATTTTAAAAAACTAATAAATATAAAAAACAAAATAAATTATGATTTTATATTTAAAATAAATATTGAGCGGAGTGCGCTCTGTCTGAAAATAATATCTGAAAATTGTCTCCAAGCAACAAACGGAGCCTCACCAAATACGAATGGCGGGCTGGTTGATTTGGATCAGTCAGAGGTTCGATTGTCATCAAGTCGGACTCAAATAGACCCGACGAAAGTAACCCTAGGTAGCTGCTATTCTGAAGCCTGCGTGATTCCGAAGAACGTTCCCACCACGCGTATCTCCCCACTCTGCATCTCTCCGCTGAGCTGATCAAAGTACCTGAAGCTCGGTATGCCTGCCGTCTCATGCCATCCTTTTCAACTTGTCTCGCATTCTTATCGTTTGGTTCATGGCCGCAAATTTTCTGTTTTCGTGCAGTGCCACAAGTTCAGCAAGAGATGGCCGATCGCTTAACTCGTATAGCCATCGTCAGCGACAGGTGCAAGCCTAAAAAATGCCGCCAAGAATGCAAGAAGAGTTGTCCTGTCGTGAGAACTGGTACCATTTCCTCTGCTGCTACCTCCTGCGTTGTGACGGCCCTCTAGATTTTACTTAGAATTGCCTTTTCTCTTGTGCCTGATTTGATCCTATTGTATTGGTTTGATTGATGGAAACTTCTTATTGTTTAGTATAGACTCGGTGTTACAGAAAATTGGGCGTTTTGATTTTCTGACTTGGTTTAAGAGTTCTTGGGGGATCAGGCTATTATTTGTTCATGGATTTGGGGAGGAAGTTCCGGTTGCCAAACCTTGGATGAAGTGGAGAAATTTTTTTTTGTTTTTAGCACCATTTTTGTGTATCTTCTGGGGGATATTGTGACCAATTATGTGTGTGCAGGTAGATTGTGTATTGAAGTTACTGACAAATCTAAAATTGCTTACATCTCCGAGGAACTGTGCATTGGATGCGGTATTTGTGTCAAGGTACAGTTATTTTTACCATTGTCAATCATGTCCTCATCTTGATTACATTTGGGGTCATGAGTCTTTAGTTTGTATGACAACATCATCCCTTGCTGTAGAAATGTCCCTTTGAAGCCATCCAGATTATCAACCTGCCAAAGGACCTGGACAAAGACACAACTCACAGATATGGACCTAACACTTTTAAATTACATAGGTGAGTAAATCAATTGTATTTTCCTTAGAAATTGTGACTGTTTATTTTTCTTTAGCTTGTTACTCACTTAAATTACAATGCCAGATTGCCAGTACCCAGGCCAGGGCAAGTACTTGGTTTAGTTGGAACTAATGGAATTGGAAAGTCCACTGCTCTTAAAGTTCTTGCTGGAAAATTGAAACCTAACTTGGGCCGTTTCAATGTAATAACTGAACTCTGCATATCATTCTTATCTGATTTTTCTTGCTTACTACTCATTTTCTCCCGTTCTCTTTGCAGAACCCGCCTGACTGGCAGGAAATCTTAACCTATTTTCGAGGATCAGAACTGCAAAACTATTTCACTCGTATCCTTGAGGATGATTTGAAGGTGATCTTTTTTTAAGTCTATGTTGTGTGGCCCCTGATGCATATGCCTATTCATGCTGCTGTCTAATATGCCTTTGTTTTGGTAGTTAATTTTTATTTGCTACTTTAAAGGATGAGTTATACGTGCTTTTTTGTGTCCATATTTCTTTTTAATTTAATCTTATTGGCCAATTATATGTATTAGAGATTATATTTACAGTTCTGTCATAATTTCTTAAATGATGAACGGGTGCAGTGTGAAAATCCCCCCTCACTATATCTTCTGCATTTTAATGAAGAAAATAAAGTGTGTAAATGTTATCTCTTTCTTATTTTAAATCATGTGGTCCGTTGTTTTATGGAAGATCACAATCTTTGATAGTCTTTAATTGAAACTGTGCAATTCATGTGAATTGATTTGGTGGTATTGTGTAAAAGCTATTAACGAGCAGTTCCGTTAATGCTGGTAGGTGGAGTTATTGTGTAAAGTATGAGTCTATTGTCCTGTAGCTTTCATTGATTTTGTTATACTAGTGTCGTATTTGTACTTTAGTTATTCACATGTTGCTTTCAGATGGTTATATTTTCACAAACATACATTTTCTGACATAGTATCATTTATTAAAAAATTTCAACTCCGCTCATAGACGAAACTCAGTTCACATATAATTAGTTCATTACCTTTCAGATATGCTATAAATAAGATTAAAAATTAAGGCGTGCATATTTGATCGGTAATTTATCATGAACTATATATTATAATACTATATGATAAATTTATAATAAATTAGTGGAAGCTTGTGTGTGGGTGTGTGAGTGTGTGGGTCTGTTTTCCTTCTGAAAATAAAAGTGTTTGAGAGCAATGAGTAATCCTTAGGAAGTTATAGGTGCTCTGAAAATCTACCACTAGCGTGCATCTGAAAGTAGTACTGTCCTGTTAAACAATTTTACGTTTAAATGACCTTTCTGAGGATTCCTCCCCTATTTTCTGCTGTTAAATTCGGTGTTAGATGTTCTCATATGTTTCTGAATGTGCATTCATTAAGCAGTTGCTTGCCTTTTCTATTTATTAGATAGAACATTGCTTCCTTAGATTCTTATTGATTACTGATTGTTTTGTCCATTTATATATGTACTTATATAAACTAGGCTATCATAAAGCCTCAGTATGTTGATCACATCCCTAGAGCTGTACAAGGGAATGTGCAGGAGACGCTGGACCAGAAAAATGAGAGAGATATGAAGCAAGAACTTTGTAATGATCTTGACCTAAACCAGGTTATAGATCGTAATGTAGCTGATCTTTCAGGTGGGGAGCTCCAAAGGTTTGCCATTGCAGTTGTTGCCATCCAGAATGCTGAAATATACATGTTTGACGAACCTTCTAGTTACCTTGATGTAAAACAGAGGCTGAAAGCTGCCCAAGTTATTCGATCTCTGCTCAGGCCTAATAGGTCTTCTTTTCCTGTCTCACTAGTTCCTTTTTTAAACCTTGTTTATACGAGAATGTGGACTATTTTTATTGGATATTGACTTGTCTGCATTTTTCCTTTCCCCAGTTATGTAATTGTTGTGGAGCATGATCTTAGTGTCTTGGACTATTTGTCAGACTTTATTTGCTGTTTATATGGCAAACCTGGTGCATATGGGGTTGTGACACTTCCTTTCTCAGTCAGAGAGGGAATTAACATCTTCTTGGCTGGTTTTGTCCCAACAGAAAATCTGAGGTTCCGTGATGATTCTCTCACCTTCAAGGTAAATGTCAACATTTCATTATGACTCGCTCCTTTTATGCTTGTACTTTGTACAATTTTTCATTGTTCTTTTGATCTGTATAGGTTGCTGAGACTCCGCAAGAGACTGGCGATGATGCTCAAACATATGCTCGATACAAATACCCAACAATGACCAAAACTCAAGGAAATTTCAAGCTTCGTGTAGTTGAAGGAGAATTTACTGATTCTCAGATTATTGTGATGCTGGGTGAGAACGGGACAGGAAAGACAACGTTTATTCGTATGCTGGTATCACTTTCTTCTCTCATACTAGTTTCTTCGAACTTTGATTTTTTCCCCAGTATTTCTCCAGTGTCAAATGTTTATGATTTGAACTATATTTGGCCTTCTCATGCTTTATATTTGGCAGGCTGGTTTATTGAAACCTGACACCGTAGAAGGTGGCTCTGATACAGAAATGCCTGAGTTTAATGTGTCATACAAGCCTCAGAAGATTAGTCCAAAGTTCCAGTCAACAGTTAGACACTTGCTTCATACAAAAATACGTGATGCTTACACACACCCACAGTTCATCTCAGATGTGATGAAGCCACTTCTTATTGAGCAGTTAATGGACCAGGAAGTTGTTAATCTTTCTGGTGGAGAGTTGCAAAGAGTTGCATTGTGTCTGTGTCTTGGAAAGGTAGATAATTTAAGTTTCATCTGTCGGAAGTTTCTTAGTTTGTTTATGCTCCTTAATCATGTCTCCTGGCTTTTTCCCTTTTTCCTCCACATTCTCAATTGCCCTTTTTTAGGACGGTTATGTAAAATGTTTTTCTTTTCCTGCTCATGCCATGAAAGGAATGTGGAGCTAATTTATGAACTATTTTACAAAATTTTGTTGAGTTTGTTTGTCTCTGAAATGAATGACTTTGCCCGGTTTTTATGAGATCAAAATTGTTTTCTGATCCATTGCTATTTAATAACAGCCTGCAGACATCTATTTGATAGATGAGCCTAGTGCATATCTTGATTCTGAGCAGCGTATTCATGCTGCCAAAGTCATCAAGAGGTTTATCCTCCATGCAAAGAAAACTGCATTTGTGGTTGAGCACGATTTTATCATGGCAACATATCTTGCTGATAGAGTTATTGTTTATGAGGGAAATCCTTCAATTGACTGTACTGCTAATTCGCCACAATCATTGTTGAGTGGGATGAACCTGTTTTTATCGGTAAGTCTGATTCTTCAACTGGTTCTTCTGAAAAGCGAATTCTATTGCTGGTTGGTTTTATTATTTTTAATAAATTGCTAAATATGTTTAAGTTCTAGTATTTGCATGCTTATTGCTCAATACTCATGTAGTATACGTGTCCTACATTAAAAAATTTCACAAATGGGAAACTGGAAAGGTTTGGTTAACAAAATTTCCATTATGATGCACTTCATAATACATAGTGCCCTGCTCACCCTTATTTCAATATCCAGCAGGGCAGGCTGTGTTATCAACTGGCTTTCTCTGTTCTCTTTGGTTTGAAGTAGAATAGACGTTTACTTATGTTCTGTACCGTTTCTTGATACTCTGGCAGCACCTGGACATCACATTTAGAAGAGATCCCACCAATTTCCGCCCAAGGATTAACAAACTAGATTCAACTAAAGACCGGGAACAAAAATCAGCTGGCTCATATTATTACCTTGATGACTAAGTTTCTAGTTATGGACAGGTGAGCCCGTTCTCCGAATGTGTTCAAGAGTTCTTTTCATGGCACCAAGAACTGAATTTCCATTTCCCCCTTTGTTGCAGTTGCTCATCTTGCCAATTGAGCAAGCGGATCAATTTGAACCTTCAATGGGATCTCAGCCTCCTTCCTCCGATGCCTCGAATACGAGTGTTCTTTTGTCCATTTAAGGGGTTGCTTTGTCCATGCATTGAGAAAGCCTGCTTGCCAGCCGTATGTTGATTGGGGTGTTTGTATATCCTATTAAGCAGTGAACCTGCTCATCGCCAGTTTTGCCATGGCATTGGTGGGAACCTGAGTTTTATTCAAAGCTTATATTAATGTTACTTTTACGGTCATGTCTGAAATTTAGAGGAGCAATCTTGATGTCATAGAAATGGTTGCTGCTTCTGTTTAGTTTACTGCATTCTGGTCAACTTGCCCGACTTAGACGCTTGTGTTGCTTAATTTTGATTTGATTTTGATAATAAATTATTTATCTGCTCAGTCTTGATACCAATTGATTTAATTGCTTCTCTTGATGAGTTTAATATATAGCGAAGTATGGGTCCACTCTCATTCTTTCAAGTTTCCTGTTATTTTATAAAATATTTTCACGAGGCATGTGGATTCATCTGACTATCGTTTAAATCGTCCTGACATCTGCATGTGCAATTCGAGTTCTAATAACATTTGCAATTGGGAACAAACGTGATTACCATCTAGTGTTTTTCCGTTTTCAATTTGCTCATCATCATCACTTGTCAAATTGGAAAAAAAAATTTGGGATTTCGAATGTCCAAGACAATTTTAGTGGATGCTTTCTACATTTTTTTTTCCTCATAAAACAACACTTCAAAATAATTCAGAAAAACGAAGTTGAGGAGGGATCTACTATACGAAAAGGCATTCAAAGTCCCTAACAATCGAATGTAGTTAGTCAACTTTTCTCAAAGCCAATTGCTATAGCGATCATGAAAATAAGACGTTAATGCGCAAAAGGGTAAACAATGGTTCTAATCGGAAAGTGATTCAAAGACTAGAAGCTACGATTTGCGCACTACTACATTTTTCTAGTTTGCTCGTTCCCCTGATACAAAGTCAAAATTTTGCTCACTATTGTTACACAAGAACAGGGTCGTCACATAAATGGGTCATGTTTAAATTCCTTTGTTGTTGCAAAGTAGAAACCCAGCTTTCTATGTTTCTTTTGTCATCCCAGCATTTTGAGCCTTCATTAGGGATCTCACCAAGGTGGATGATCATCCTCAGACGATTGAGGAGGGATTGGTTTCCACCCAGGCTTCTCATCCCAGTACATGTCATAGTATATGTGACCAGGAGTGTGATCCATCACACAGCACCATATCCCCACATACCTCTTGACACGTTTTCTGAATTTATCTTCTCTAATCTGCAGATTCAGTTTTGAATACCACATCATAAGTGAGTCAAAATTTCTGCTCATCTTTGATGTAAAACTCAAGTACGTAAGACAGCAAGAAAAATAGGCTCGCCTTGTCCGTGAAACCTGCAAAAGCATCTTGCATTGAAGAGAACTGGATAACTTTCACGTCCTTGAATGATGAGAATACCCTCATGAGCTGCAAAGTAGAAACAGTCATGTTCAATAAAACGTTTCAAACAGATGTATATAAACCATGTGGCAACAGAAAGTTTGCAGTCCTCTATGAACTTGAGAGTCTGGGAATAGGCGTCCTTAATTGTAGGCCTTTGACCAACCATAACTCACACTTGTGCTCCTATTGGACGTTTGTTGAGACGAGAATTTTAAATAATCACGCAGCATTTCAACTTTGGCATATTGGGGAAGTATGTACTAACCACCCTAACTAAAAGCTATGCAATCAAAATGATCTAAAAGTAACTTCTGAGGAAATGTCTACAGTCACAAGGGGGTTTTTGTCTAGAGATACTTCTTGGGCTTCTTTCCCCATTGATGTTCAAGTTTTTGCAGTAATGGACTTAGTCCCTCTAGCGCCCCCCCCCCCCAAAAAAAAATATATATATAAAAATCCAAAAGGAGATTAGGTCCCCGACCCAGCATAATAAGAAAACAGGGACGTCAGGTTTAAGATGGTTTGAGATGGGTCGACACTTGATTCTGACGAGTACAACTAATGAAAACTGCATGAAGTAAGTCATAAATCAAACTAGGATCCTTGGTCAACTTGTTTGATTAACATTGGATTCAAATGTCACGCTCTAAAAAATTATTTACTGGATTTTATTTTTTTTTGAAAAATTGCTTTTTTATTATCAATTACTTGTTCTGAAAGCCTTTGAGCCATTTAAAAGTACAGAATATATCCATATGGGCATTGATGTTCACAATATAGATGGATGTGGAGAATGTTTTGCCCATTAGCCCATTACCATAATAGTTGACATTAGTCCAATAAATAGTATTCCTATGATCTTATTTATAGGGCAGAGAAAGAAAATTTTTTTTTGTCTATTTATAGGACAGAGAGAGAAAATTTTCACATGAATATACAACTTTACCTCTCATTTATTATTTTGTTGACTTTGTTTTCATGAGATATATTATATATTAGACAGTAATAAGGTTGAAAAGTTGTTGAATTTTAAATAAGAGTTAATGAAGTTTAAGGTTTTTATTAGTTTGTGTGACATATGTTGGAAGTAATTCATAAATAGGACCAAAAGGGTAAAACATAGTAGAAGTAACTTGATCAACCTTCCCAACCCAAATATCCAAGGACATAAAAAACCAATGATAGTACATGGACTGATCATTGAAACAAATGGGAAATTAAATTATCATCCTATGCTAGATTCTTGGAACATGGTCCTTCATCTTTCAGGACAACACAAATGCAGACCAATAGACCATTTTCTGTAAACAAAGTTACTTACCATCAGGTATCCTGGTTTTCTATAAGTTTTCCAGCCAGATCCTTGATAACGATGATATTATTAAGTTGATATCACAAGGTATTAAAACGGACATGCCACACAATTTTAATTACATCAACTTACTTTATAGGTTTGTTTTTTTTTTGGAAATTTTGAGCCGAAATAAGTGGGTGGTATGGTTTTGAACAGAATTGAGCATACCGTTTCATCAGTGCTATGCTTTGGAAGTCTAAGCACTCCCCCAACGGTGGTAGCATTTGATGCATCACAATCTGGGGTCCCATCTTTACAGAGATGAACATCAAGCCATGACGACTTCACCTGAACTCAGAAATCCAACAAGCAAGTTCTTACTGAGAAACATAAATCCAGAAATAAGTCCGACTGATTTGGAATTATACATAATTGAGTGACAATCATTTACCTCTAAGGGCATAGAAGGATTATCAAGAATTGAGTACTCTCTAATGCCTATGCCTGGGCCAAACTCTTCCTCTGGGAGTGCTTGCAACATGACATTCACCTGGAATAAAGTGCATTTCCATGAAGCACAAGGCAATGCGAGAGACATCTTGTTGTGTATGCAAAATAAAGAAGAGAAAGAAAAACAATGGATAATTAAGAGATCATGCTAAAAAATTTCCACGTGTTCAAAGATTTCTTGTAGCTACTTTCCAAAAACTTGTGGTTTTGAGGGTTGCTTTTCAAATGTGCTCTTACAACCTGCTTGTGCTTCCTTTTTTTTGGGCAGACCAAAAACACATAAAGGTTTTTTCAGAAAATTAAAGTGAAATATGTCCAATTTTTGTTTGTTGGAACTTCAATACTTAACTTTGTACTCCACCTATGTTTTTCTAATTTTTTATTTACCACTACGATGATGACAAAAGCCGTTAGTTTATGGAGATTATACCTGCGTCTCTTAGTGATCCTAATTCACTCTCACGAGACCAAGTCTACTGATTTTTTATTATTATTATTATTCTTCGATTTTTTATTCTTCTGTTTGCTATGAATCATGCTGACTTTAGCCCTGCTAAGAACACCGTTCCTCAGACTTAAATTTTCCACAGATGCAGGAAGCTGCAATGCATCATCACAATTCACCTATGTGTTTTACCTTATTATTTTGGTTTTTGTGATGTATACGGACGTTCTGTGAAATCACTGTTGGGTGCTAATGTCCAAATTTGATGAATGATGGCCAATACGATTTTCCAGATGTACTAAAGAATTACAACCATAAGGAATCGTTCAAACAAACTGGAGTTACCTCAAATACATGGTCCAAAGGACAAAGAAAAGGTTGTCTTGTCATGGTCCCCTCCAGAACACCAGGATGAGGAAACCATAGCCTGTCAACCACGCACCATAGAGGAGGCATGACCTAAACACAAAGAAAACAATTTAAGATCAAAATATAAGATTTAAAAAAATAAAGTTAGTCACTAGGCACCACCAACTCAGCCAACTGCACTTGCCACAGGTCTAAATTGCAATCAAAACTGAGCATCACAACAAATTATATCAAATGGTAACTTGTAAGGCCATCAGAAGTCATAGTCTAGCTTGTTTTAAGTACACGCCAGTAACTTTCAGCCACGAGAAAGTGAACTTCAAACATTCCTATACGTCAATAACAGCTTTCTGGAATGGAAGGAAATAGAGGGGAAGAAGAAAGGGGGGCTATACAGCCAAGATCAGTCATGGTATGAGACTTCTAATTTCATTTGAATCCAACAAGGCCCCTGAAGAGAAAATAATAATTATAGAGAGGATTTATTTCTGTGCTTCGCAGACAGAAAGCCTAGGTGAGGGGAAAAAAAAATTAATGCTAATGATGACACTTGCTGTCTTCTCAGCAAAAATTAATTGGGGAAGTTTACAATCTGTTGTCTTCTGTCATAAATACATAGATGTACTATTACTATTAACACCCTTTTGGTTATTTTATTTAAGCAAACAATGACACGGCAGTGCAGAATGCAGAGTAATAAAGTAACTTGTCAGTTCTGAATTCCAATGTTATGGATTTTACTATATTGTGAACCTTGTCTAAGCAGTATCGATCCTAGGAAAATATATCCTTCATATCATTGTCAAATGTTGATCGCTTCACAAAGCAATAGTAGTTAACAGTTGTACCTATGGCGACATTTAACCACCCTGACCAGACAAAATGCAAATCCACAAGTAACCTAACAGGCATTTATGGTTCAAGAAAGCAGTTCTCACCAGTGTTCTGTTCAAAAGGGAAGCAATAGCAAGTGCTGTCCTTATCTGTTTTACCTGGAAAAGTTCGTGCACAATAAGATTGCAAGATGCAGAATTGCTTTTCCATTCAATTGCAGGAGTAAAAGGATTAGGTCTATACATGCATACTTGATAGTTAACGAGAGAAAAATGTGATTCAATGGTATGGGTCCCACTTAGCAACAGGTTCTTCGGGATTGATGGCTTAAATGACAAAAAACCCCCTGCAAAAGTTCCCCTGATAAGTTAGTTTGGGGAACTATCATGCAAAGGAGTATCAAACATGAGAAGATTCTGCATTTAATGCATTGACACATGGAAGCACCAACTTCCATCTTCCGCATTTCATTGTGATATTGACTCCAATGGAGGATGGAATACAAGTCTATCAATACGAGATATAAGGAACAAGTGAAGATAAATAGCGAAATGAGTGTGTATGGATACACTTATGTAAGGAGTAATAGAGTGGTGCGCATATTTAAACTGAGGAAGAAATGAAAAAAATAATTACCAGGTGGATTATAGTATTCAGGAGGATCATAGAAGACCATGGCTTCTCGAAGTCGATGGCGCTTTCCTTCAGTGCCTGCAAATTGAAACGTTGTGTGCACTGCATAAGGCTCCAATCTGAGTTGCTGATACATAGCCTGCAGTTAGAACGTACAATTACATTCTCAGAGCAAACTTGTTGGCAATTTAATTTCTAAGGCCCCATTTGGTAGGATGTGGCCATTTTTATGAGAAACGGGAAGGAAGAGGCCAAGAGGGGAGGAGGAGAGTTTCAATGGATAGATTATTTTTGAATTAAAAACGTGTTTGGTAGGCAAACCAAAAAAAATTGGAAATTTGAAGTGAAACAATTAAAAAAGAAAAGGAAGGAATCCAGGCAGCCAAATACTCTTACTTCAAATACTCGAGGCTACAAGACTACAACATTATGGGAACTATTTCATTAAATAATAAATGGCTAATATTTTTGGGAAAAATGACATTTAAATATTTATATAATAATACTTATATTTAAAATTTTAAAATTTAAAATATTTTATATCAAGAAGAGAAAAGAAAAAAGTGATTAAACAACAATAACAACAATAAGCCTTATCCCACTAGGTGGGGTCGACTATATGAATCACACGACGCCATCGTGCTCCGTCAACAACCTGTCTCAAAAAGTGATTAAAACATAATTATAATTTATAACCACTAAAAACTAGTAAATAAGTCTTACCTGGACAAAATATGTATGTCCACTACAAAATATACTTGCAGGTAAAATTCCCAACTTCAGTTTTCCATCAAATGCATAAACAAGTCCGCTGTCCTCATCAACAGGTGGTCCTAACCGTTTGCGTACAATGTCATTAAATCCATTTTGATCCCATACCTTGTCATCAGCAAAAAGCATTTGTTTCCATTCCTTTGCCAACTTTTTGGCAGAATCTGTAGGTCTCCAATGGAAAATTCCAACATTGTAGGCACCACTAACTATGAAGAGCAACAGAACAGAATCATCAGTAAGAAATAGGGTTTAAAGAACAATGAAGCGAGCGCCATAATATGCAAAATACAATTAGAGGTGAGAAAAGCAATAAGTGAGTGAGAATATCAAATTGGCTGCTGAGATTGCAAAACAGCAAACGAAAAATAAGGGTAAGGGTGTTGTGATTTGAAGGTTGCATGTTCAAAAGTATTTTGCTAGTCCTTTGCGTTATCATTCTCCTTATCTAAAGCCATACCAAAAGGCAACAAGGCATTGCAAAGAGACAATGTGAATCCAACATTAAAGCTGATTTGAAATTCGGAGAAGGGAACATTTGATATTCACGTCCACATACATCATTTGACTAGCAAATTTAGGTTAAAATCGCTGTACAGTTAGTAAGGATAGCCAATAGCACCATGATAACCAATATAAGAAAAGTAAAAATGATAACGGTGAATTCAGCTCATTTTATAATCTTCACCTTCTTGCCAAACCTCCAGACTATCATCAACAACGGTTGGTATAAGTTGATCACTCGAAGTTAAAACATCTGCCCCTGGATAACGAGCGAGATATGGAAGTGGGTCCTGTTCAACAACAATATACAATATATTTGTAACATAAATACTAGAATTAACTACGATCACATAGTAGTCTGGAAACTCTCCAAGAGATAAGTGTGAAAAATAATGACACATAATGAATATAACAGTAAAGTTCATAATGATGACATATGAAAATTAAAAGAAACAATGTTAAAGAGGATTCAAGAATAAAGTGGATGTTACAGCAAGCAGGAAAAGGATTCCTACAAATCTCTCATAACTAAATTACATTACATACATGAGGGGGGGAGGATAAGGAAAAACTATCGCCAATATGTATTCTTCTGTTCCTTTTGAATAATTCATTTGGTTTGAGGGTAATGAAGGGGAGGAAACGAGAGAAATTTTTTTTAATGACATCGATTGAGAACAATGAACAAGTGGGGTTGAAAAGTTTTAATAGAGAATAAATGAAAAAGGAGAGGAAAGAGCAAGGAAAAGTAATAATATAAAAATTTCAACCCCACTTTCCCCTTTTTTTAAAAAAAAAAAAAAAATCAAACTCATTATAATTGTCCCTCCCTTCAACTCCCCTTGAACCAAACAAGGGTTTAACTGAGCATATTAAACAAAGAACTCACAATAAAAATGACTTAAAAAGAACATATACATATAAATGAAAGTGAGCACCTTTAACCAAACCATGTCAGTGTCACACATCAACAATTCAAAACCATAAGGCAAGACTGAGTCTATCAAAATAGCTTTTTCTCTCCCCATTTTATGAAATGTTGGGGATCCCCAGCCAACATCTACCGTGCTCATGTGACTGCCCATGTCAAAAACTGGTACACCTTTCCAATACAATGCCTCCAATAATTTGGTGTCCATCGCACCTGAAACGGCAGATTTCATACTCCTTTTATACACTCTAATGAATAAGTCAGGCTAACAAGGAGTGATTAAAAATATAGACAAATAGCATCATATAGCAGGATAGAAGGAGTAATGCGTACCAACAAGAAGATTGGAAAGTCCCAGATCTGTTAAGTGTTTGGCCCAATTCAGAATGAAATCCATGAATGCATAGTTACCAAAGGTCACAATTATGATATTATCCTTCACTCTATGCTGAACCAACTCTTTGGTCAGTCGGAAAGCCTTCAAAGGGGGCATCTTTTCATTCTGAGGTGGGGCTTCCCAAATAGGCCTTGCCCACTTATTTGGTGGCCCTGGGGCAGAATTTGGCATAGCATGTGTTATATCTGGCTTAGAAAAGTTATGTTTTTGATCTGGAAGGCGCTGATGTTCATCTGAAAAATCATGTTCTGATTAAGTTCAAACACACGTTCATAGGGAAGAAGCTCAAGGATAGATGAATTTGGAGAGTGCCTTCACAAAACTGAGAATGAAAACTGACAAGCAAAAGCAATATCAACCCTGCTGCCTACAAGTAAAGCAGGTTCACTGAATGGCTATTCCCACCCACATTAAATCGAAAAGTTAAAAAGATTCATATAATGATGAACTTAACTGCTGAAATACGCTTGCACCCCTTCAAGCAAGATATATCATGAATCATCCCCACAAAGACAAAACTGTGGACATGAACGTAAGGACAAAAAAAATCTGATACAACGTCCAAAACATGCTGAACACGTACACAACTACCTTTTGAATTGCTAGAGGTTCATAGCTTATATCTTTGTGGTTAACCTATCTTAGTCATATTCTGTCTTCAGAAAATAAAGAATGATTATTTCACGTCACAACAGAAATGAAGAGCTTTATTGCTTTCCTTCTCTGGCAGAAATTAGATCAAACATCCAGAACTCCACGAGCAACGGCATTTAAAGTGCCATTCTTGGATTCAAGAGTTTAGCTAATACTATAGTCTCCATAGTTGACAAATCTTTGAGCAATCCCACACCACCCCCAGTTCTATTGTCCTTGAACGCGCGAATAATATACAAAAATTAATGATGACTGCAAGAGAGCACTGGGGAAGACAAACATCTTAGGCGTTAACTTAGCACCAACTTCTCAAGTTCACCTAAAGGGGTGGCTTCAGGGACAGTTCATTTAAAGTCTCATTCATTAGTACCATTACCTCACTTCCTCATAAAACTAATACATAGGAAGCTTTCTCACCAAGAATATTCAATCCGACTCGTTAGTACAGGATTATGTCTCCCTATAAGATCTGTTTACATTCCAAAATCATATTATGGTGTCCCCAATTGTAGATATTCACTGGGTATTTCAGTTGCAAGCTAACAAAACCAAGAGCACGAAGCATATCGAGAAAAGGCAAAACTTGTATGCAATCAAGAACAAGATGCAAGCATTACAGCGAAAAGCGTAAAGCAGTGAACCATAAAAACGTACCCAAACCTGGAGCTATAGAGGATGAAGAAGAGAGCCAGCCAGAAGTATCACCAGCGGGCTTGCTCGAATATATGGCGGAGAAGACATACAAGGACGAAACGACGATGCCAACGATCACAGTCGTGTAGATCGTCAAGAACAGAGGCTTCGAATGAGCCACATCGTCACAAGCATTTCTCCAAGCCATACCTCACGACTCTTCTTGATATGCCCACTTTCTGTTCTCTTCCAATCAAGCATCACATTCAGAAATCACGTGAAAACAACTAACTCCAGTTCCCGTATTTTCACCGCCATGTAGCAACTTCGAAAACACGAAGATGAAAATGGCCTAATAAGAAGAAATTCCAAATGACTGATTGAGAGAGGTGGGTGGTCAGATTAGCAATTGATAGGCGCAGAGACGCCAGGTCTCACCAGTGCAGAGACGCCAGGTCTCACCAGTGCAAGGTCAAACTAGGAAGCTGGCCTTGCCGGAGCATGACTGTGCCACTTGCCAAACGAATCTTAACAGCTACAGAATTGGATGGATCCATTATCATAATGTTTATATCATTTTCGGTGTTTTTTAAACAAGTTAAATCAACATTCCTGGTCAAAATTAACTCGGTGAATACCATTATCAAATGAAGATTTGACTTTTTATGTGCTAAAAAACAAGATTTTTAAGGATGCTTCAAGAAAAGGACACTCTTGTAATAATTATTTATACTACTTTCGATCCTAATTATAAGACCCAGTTGACTAATTTGAAGATTAAGGAAGTAAGTTAAGTTAGTTATTTGTAACAAATAAGTGTTGTCATTCCTAAAATATCCTTGCTAATTAAGTGTGTTGGTTAGAACTATCATTATTAGAAGGACAATTTTGAGAAAAAATGCATAAATATGAGAGACAAAATGGATTGGGGTCTTATAATTAGGACCAAACTAAAAATTAAATGGGGTCTTATATTAAAGACCGGAGGTAGTACTATTACTTACCTGTCCCGGAAGGAAAATTTGGGTGGATGTAATTTTTGTGAAAAGATTCTCGTCAATTTGCAACGGGGTTAAATAACAGTTAATGAGCTTGCGAGCTCATAAGTAATAATAAAACAAACAAAGGATTAGATTTGTATATAATTTTTTATTTGATTAATCTCAAGCATGAATGTGCTAGTTAGCATTATTCTGGGGTCAAACATTTCATTTTTGCCAACACAAAAATTTGTCCGAAATTATTATTAATCTTCGTTATTTTTTGATGATGTAATGACTTGTACAATAATAAAATTATGGGTCTTCTCATTATTTTATTATTTCTTCAGATCTAACTTCTGCACCCTCTTATGGATTAAAAAAATCGAAAATTTTTTGGCAAAAAAAAAAATCCTCGCAAAATAATCAATGCAGATTCTTCCCATCCCCAAAAAAAAATTGCAGATAACGTACGCATTACATGTGATCGGGGTGTCGCTGTAATTGGGCTACCCCTAAAAGACGAATCAGGGAATTCATGGGCTTTAGATGGAGAGATGGAAAGCCCATGGGCAATCTTTAATGGGCCTATTTAAAATGAATTGGGCTTCACTTCAATGGGTAATTGGGCACTTCGTCATGCCTCACCCATGGGCCTAAATTGCAAAACTTTCTTATATTAAAGAAACCAAGAGCCAACCAACGGGATTGAATCTAACGAAAGGAGCTAGTTCTCACAATGTGGTGAATCAATATTTGAATTCTTCCTATGAGAGATGCTCATATTTAATACTTGATAGCGTCTTGAATATGATTGTTTCTAATAAGAAAATACCTGTACCTATCCAAAGAAAAAAAAAAAAGAAAAAAAGAAACCAAGGGCCCATGTATAATGGGCTCAAAAATCCATATCAAGGACCGGGACAATCTATACCCAACAATGGAACCTAGTAGCATGAAAGCTTTTTTTGTATGTGAGAAGTTGTGGTTAGATTTTGCTTGTAATTATAAGCAGTTAGTACATGCCTCCCTAACTCAAAAATAAAAAATAAAATTTAAGATGAAACTTCCTTGTAAGATTGTTACTAGAAAAGTTTGAGGCAAAACGTTTGTATGAAATGTCACATCCATGATCATGGAGAAGGTAAAATCCAAAGAGGTAGCTAGAACTCATGCATGAACACATACACCGTCTTTCATCTCTTTTGTTCAAAGTGAATGAGGAGTTATTATTGGAAGTCATCAAGTAAAAACATTAATTATGTTTTTTAATACTGCTCCCATATTTATTTTTTATGCATTTTTTTTAACTTTTTAACTGTAATTCATGATTTTAAGTGTGAGTAAATTTAGGGAAAAAATATTTTCAAACAAATTTAATGACTTAAATTCTGGTGAGACGTTTGGAAGTGTCTTATAATATAAATAAGAGAAGTAAATATATGTGCTTGCGTGCGTGTACATTTACATGTAAATTTATAGTCTCTCTTGTGTGTGTTTCAATTTCATTGTCAAAGCATCTGAAACACAAAGTCCAAATTCAGCCACTTGTGCATAAATATAATAACCTAAATAATTTGTTTGGGCTAGCCTCCATGACTAGAACCAGCAATTCAAAGCCTAGTGGAACTTGTCTTTATTCAAATAAATATATAAATAATTTGGGACTGCCCAAAGTTTTATTTAATCTGATGTCATTTATTTATGCATCACACAAATGTACATGACTAATAAGTCAAACTCCAGGCCTTTTTGCCAGGCCAATTCTCAACTAGTTGCTTGGACACGCATGCATCATTTTTTTATTTTAAAATTTTAAGCTTCATTTATAAAATAAATCTTCAGAGAAGCTGCACTTATAGCTACTCATTAATATGTGTAAAATACTATTGCACATGATCCTAGATAGAGCCATGGTGTAGCTATATATGTATAGTATATTAATTATGTTGAAAATGTTTTAAAAAATAATACTTCCAATTTCTGTGTCATCGATTGGGTGGCATTAATGTATCTTTCAAGCAAATGAAATAGAAAAATAATTTTATGAAATAATTAGGTCAATTTCTGCCTATTGTTTTGTTTGTTTGCTGATCAAGTGGCATTATTCTAAGCCTCTAGCCTAGTCAGAATTAACTAATATATATAATTTTTAAAAATATTAAGATTAATGACTACTTCTACAATTTTCCTCAATTTTTGAAAGGGAAAAAAAGAATATATGTCATAGTTCTTATTTAATATTATAATTTTTAGACATATACATCTATGCACAAATTTGTAACTTAGAATAAATAACCTTTTTTTTCTTTTTGGGTATTGTGGAAAGACTTAGATGAATAATAATATTCATGAGTCATAAGTAGTATTTTTTTTATTATAATAATTGTGCATATGCCGACTAATAAGTTGTTTGTTAATATAGTAAGCGGGCTTGCCTTCATAAAAAAAATTTTAAATTTCAAAAAACACTTAATAAAAATGAATCTTAAATTTAAAATAATTTGAGGAGAGTATGAGTTTTTAGTCAAAATAATTGTGTGAGTGTCTGTCCACTCTTTTATCTATGTGTGTGAAGAGTTCGATTGTGTAATTGTCGTACACATACTAAAATTATATTGCCATACTATTCCTCTGATTCTAAATATAAGATCCTTATACACATGATTGGAAGAGTAATTTATCAATTGTAAAGTAATATAATTATTGGGTCAACGTACATCTAATGGAAATAATTAATTTTTGTTAAAAAGTCAAATTCATCGTGTCATTTTTTTATAGGTCCTATAATTATATATAAAAATATCAACCAAGGTCCGATTAATTAATTATTAATGCTTATGAATGAAGTGCTCTGGCTGTAATGTACTTAGCACAAAACCCAAGATGAATCTTACTACTATAGACATGTGGTTCCTCCTAAGTATTATAAATATATTATCAATAATAATTAACTAATTCTCTTGATTAGTTGGAATATGCTTAGCCTCTTAGCTATGAATCGTTATATTATTGCTTCTGTCAAGTACTTAATGCAACTGGCTTTGCGTTGCATTGACTAGTCACTTAGGAAAAATATATTAATTAACGAAGCACACTGTCAGGAGGATGCTTCATCCCCTTAATAATAAATTATGTGTTTAATTATAAATACATGCCCTATTAAGTACTCCCTTTGATTTTAATTATAAGGTATAGTAATTTATTTTAAAATATAGGATAAAGATATAAAATTTATATATATATGTTAATCATGTTTGTCCCTCATCTATTGGTGTCCTCATTATTTTTAGTGAGAGTTGATATACATTTAATTGTGAATATTAATTACAGTGAAGATAAATTAAAAAAAAACATGTCAGCTGTAGCTGGCAAAAAATGTCAATTATAATTTTTTAATGACCATAAGGTAGTTAAATTTATCTTATAATTAAGGCAGATCAAGAGTATAGAGAATTTTATTTTATTTTTTGTTTTTACCAGAAGAGGATAGAGCAATTCAAGCAATTGATAATACAAATAATGGATAAAAAAATTCATAATACAAAATACAATTATCTATGTATCATACGGCTGTACCAATAATGTACTTGAACGTGTACATATAGAACTAATTAAATGAGAGCACGTGTCTCCGGTTACGGGGGTTTATTATTTATTAGGTACTCGTATTACAAATAATTTATATGTATCTTGCAAGTCAAACAAAAGGTGTTTATTCATAATGGAGTATATAGATTGACCGAACTAGAATTAATAATTAATCATTTTCCATATTTACTTAACCTGATAATTATATGTTCATTTCTTTATATATATGTGAATTCATATTATTCGTCTGATAATCAACATTAAAAATTGTATACATGAATTTTCTTAAGTGGATAAAAATTAAATAGTTTTATTAAGAAATAGATGGATTGTAAATTTTAATCATTCACTTGTAAACGGAAGAAGAGGCAATCTCTCACATTCTTTCTTTCAATTTCTGTATATCAAAAAGTAAAAATACTTAAACTAATCCTGTAAATTTAATCTTCTAAAATAGTAGTATTTTATAAAATATGATCTCTACTATTAGATTAACCATATAAAATTAAAAATATATTAAATTATCTGAATAATGATGACCGGTCCGGTTTATATAAAAAAATTCAAAAAATCCAGAAAAACTTGGCTGAAATATAAATAATTGATCAACTAGCTAGCGAGGCTTTTCACCATGTATTTTATATTAAAAATCTGGTCAAATAGAAACTTTAATTTAGTCATTTATTATTGTTATAAAATATGATTTTCTTTTATGGATGGATAAACACAACACGTATAGAAGAAAGTGGGCATGTTTTGAAGAGTGGCTTACACCCAGAAAGTTGTAAATCCAAGTCACAAAAATAATAATTATATCAATGTGTGGGGGCCATGCTGGAATATTACAGAATATTATGATTTCTTCTTT